GAAGTCATATCTTCATATCTTCATTTCACAATCTCAGATCTTCACTGATCACAACCTCAGATCTTCTAGATGTGATTCTTAAAAGTAGCCTTTTTTAACTCGTTTTATTTAAATTGTTTTACTTTTATTTTAAAGTTGTTTCAAATTTTTTTACATAAACAGTGTCCTAACAGCCGTTGTTTGTTTAGTTTTACTTAACAGTTATGTTTCTTGTTTTTTGTTTTTTTTTAGTTGATTTGAAGCAACCTGTCAATAAGTGGTTTAATGATTTTAGATTTTGATAAATTTTCTTTTTTTATCGATTAAAAAAAAATTTAATACTCATTCATATAATGAAGTTATCAAAAAAAAGCTAATTAACTAATGTTTTATTTGTGGGCCTTGCTTTTTAAGTTTTATTTTTGTGCCAATTTTTATTTGACATGCATTATTAAAGTTTTTATTTTTATAGATGGGTTTATTTTTTCATTAGAGTATATATTTTTTAATAATTTTTTACCAAAAAAATTAATCTGATCAATCTATAAAAAAACTATATTAGATGTTTATTAAGTTTATTAACATAAATAAAAACATATTGTTATATTTATATTTTGTTTTTCAATTTTAAATAATTTTTTAATGATAGTTTTTTCAATTTAAAGGTTTCAACTTAGTAGTATGTGGCCTAGATTCAGTTGTGGCAAGAAGGTGGATCAATGGTATGTTGGTATGTTGGTTTTTTATTCTCTCTCTCTCTCTCTCTCTCTCTCTCTCTCTCTCTATATATATATATATATATATATATATATATATATATATATATATATATATATATATATATATATATATATATATATATATATATATATATATATATATATATATATATGTATATATATATATATATATATATATATATATATATATATATGTATATATATGTATATATATATATATATATATATATATATATATACATATATATATATATATATATATATATATATATATATACATATGTATATATATATATATATGTATATATATATATATATATATATATATATATATATATATATATATATGTATATATATATATATATATATATATATATATATATATATATATATATATATATATATATATATATATATATATTAGGGTGTCCCAGCCGCCCTTTATATTCTAAAAAAGATCTGTTCATATTCTTAAAACTTTCTATCGGTTCTCACAAGCAACTCTGTTAAATTTTTTCAAAATTTTATTGGATATAGAAGGAGCACAAGACCCTTGAACACTTACCTGGTCCCTAATAATATTAAAAAAATTTTTTCTCAAAAGTATGTCATGTTGGGTCTCAAAAGAAGCAAAATTATATAAAAATTTTAAAAATTAAAATTATTTAAAAAAAAAATTATTATTCAATTTTTTTTTTGGAATAGTTATCGGAAAAATACACTTTATTTTTAGGTTAAAATAGGTCATTTTTCTGCAAAAAACTCTAAAATAATAATTTTTTTCTAAAATGATTGTTATTTTTAAAATTTTAATATAATTTCGCTTCTTTTGAGACCCAACATGACATTTTAATATTATTAGAGACCCGGTAAGTGTTCAATGGTCTTGTGCCCCCCCCCCCCCCCCCTAAATCCAATAAAATTTTGTTGCTTGTGAGAACCAATAGAAAGTTTTAAGAATATGAACAGAACTTTTTTAGAATATAAGGGGCGGCTGGGACACCCTAATATATATATATATATATATATATATATATATATATATATATATATATATATATATATATATATATATATATATATATATATATATATTTACATACATAAAATTTAGCTCTTCAGCATCATTATAAAAATTTTTATCCTTTTTTCCTTTAATTCAGATTTTTCTTTTTTTTAATAATTTGGCAATTATAAGTTAAAATCATAAGTTAAACAAAAAGTTTTATTTAGCTGTATTTTTATTTATTGCTTTTATTTATTTTATAGTTAAGTTTAGTTAGTTACAATAATGATGGTGAAATTGACGTTACTTCTATAATTCCAATGGTGGATGGTGGTACAGAAGGTAAGGTCTTAAAATTTAATTTTTAACAAATTTTTTTTCTATAATTTTCTAAATCTTATTAACTACTGTTTATACTGCACTGGACTATTGGCTTTTTATTGTTTTATGCCATTGTATATATTTCTGCTTTATTGATATGAATGACTTTATTGAAAAGTAATAAAATTGGATCAAAATACAAATCAAGATTGGTTGATAATTATGAGTTAGGCTGACCCTAGGGCTAGAGAGTCAAGCTCATTTTTAAACACATTTATTGCAAATGAGAAGATAAAAACAAAAAGTGTTTAAAAATTTTGTTTTAAATTTTTTATTTTACAGTTGAATTTAGCATTAGCATTAAATATTGCAATGTATATTGCAATGTATATTCATATCTAAATAAAATATAAGATTGTGTTAATGGTAGAAGCGTCATGAATATTTGGTATTAGACCGAATATTGCAAACTATTCAGCCGAATACCATGTTATAACAAAAGAAACCCATAAAAAAGAATTACATATAATTATTTTTTTAATTTTATTTTATTTTAAGATATAATTGACAAAATTTGCGAATTTAGCCAAAACATCATCTTCATTCAAAACAAGGAAAATCAACAAAAAAATGTAATGAATTTAACAGTGAACAGCAAACAAATAATTTTTATTCAAATTTTTTTTGATTATTTGTTTAGTTTTTCTTTTCTCTCTATTTTTAACATTTAAAAAGATATTAAAAACCTCAAATATTTTATGCTGGTTCGTTGCTATAAATTGTTATTGTGCCATATATTTAATGTTTATAAATTATGAATATTTATTATCTCAATCAAGACTCTGATAAAAAATTGTTTTACATTACTTACTTGTATAAATTTAGTAACAGCATTTTTATTTGGTTAGACAATATTCTGTCTCAATTTGCTTTGCATGAAGATCAGGAAGTCAAACGAAAAAAATTAGTTTGAATAATCACTTTGAAATATATTTAAAACAAATTATTTTTATGACGGGGGTTCTAAAGTTTTTATAACAAAAGTAGGTTAAAAAAAAATAATTAAATAAAAACTTCAACATTAAACATCATTTCTTTATTATATTGTAACTGTAAATATTAAAATAGTAACTTGAACTAAATTTACTTATTATTTAGAACGACTAAGCAATAAAAATAAAAAGCCCCTAAAATTTTGCGATATTGTGTTGTTTATTTGATAATTGTTGTTGGTAATGTTGCTTATGTTGATTATTTTCATTAAACACAAAATAGTCCCAGATTAATCTGTAAGTTGCTTTGTTCATTGTTGATTTATTTCAAATTTAATTTTATCTCTAAATATAATTTTATGTTAAGAAGGAAAAGTTTTTATTTCATCGCCCGCTCTTTTTATAAAAGAGTAGAACAAAAGATAAAGAAAAGTTTAGGATAATTAAACTTCGAATGAATAAGAGTTGTATAGAATATTTTTTAATAGTAACTTTTCTTCGAATAAATGAGAATTGGAAGAGAAAATTGCTTGAAAATTTGTATTATTTAAATTACCATCTATCTTGAATTATAGCCATTAATTAATTTGTTAATTATTGTGTTATATAATAATAATTTGTCCGTATTTTTGTTAAATATTAGTTGTATAAAATGGACGAAAATATACAAACTTCATGTTTTTTATTTGATGGTTATAAAATAAAGAACAGTAAACTTATAATCAAAATTTATAATGTCGACTTGTGTTGCTATTAATTGCACTTTTAAAGCAAAACCAGAATCTTGCATATCCTTTCACGAATTTTCATATCTGATACTACTGTCAACTGTATTGTTTAGTGTATTCTTGTACTTTTTTTTCATAACCTTAACAAGTTCTATTTGGTATGCCGACATTTTAAAAGTTTCATTATCAAAAATCAAATGTAAAATAAAATGATATTTTCTTTTTATCCGTATCCAATTCAGCAAATTTAGCAATTTAAAATAAATCAGCGTAATCAAAAAATTTTTATAATAATAAAAGTTAACAATTTATCAAATATCTCTAATTAATACTGTCAGTTTATGAAATTAATTGTTAATAAATACTTTTTTTCGACGGGAAAACAAAAAATATAGTAGCGTCAAAATAACCAGAGAAGTTAGAAAAAAGTTTCCATTGTTTAAATAAAAATAAGTAAGATTCAGAATATATAATACTGCGCTCTCTTGCACGAAAACGAGAGACCGTATACATAACGTTCTATATAATGTAAAATACTCGTATGAAAATCATAAGATTCGTCAGTAAAGCTTTAATATTTGTTTTAATTTAAAAACAAAAGAATTATAAGTAAGATATATAAATCTAAAAATTATTAAGATATTGGTAAAAAAAAAGTTGCTCCTATGAAATAAAAATCTTTTATTATTTTTGATTTTTACAAAAATTTGTTGTAAAAGTTGTTTTACTGTATGTTAAAAAAATACCACATTGTTCTTTTTGAATTAAAGTAGCTTTGTTTAATTACACTTTTCATTTGTTAAAATTCTACCGTGACGTTAATGCTAGAACTTTTATGAATTAAACGCGCTTCAAAGGAATCGCCGAAGTCTGTAGATTGTGGCGTATAATTTAAAGACTCCGAGTTATTGAAAAAAATGGAGAATGCGAACTTCGGCTAAAACAACAACATTAGTTTTTCTCGATATGCATTCATTCTTTATTTTTAATCAAAAAAACTTTTTTTTTTGACATTATCTTTAATATGAACACAACATGTGTTGGGAGTTGGGGATCCCTTTATGGAGGCATTATAATTCAAAACATTCAAAAATTTATAATCAGTTTGTCTATGAGGTACAGAAAGAAAAAGAAAAAAATTTAAAAGTTAAGTTAGTTAAATAAGCTAGTTGGACAACAAGATTTTCTAAAAAAGAAAAAGAAACAGAAAATGCTTCTGTTGCAATCTATGAAGTGTCCTTTTTTAGCTCAAAATTGTAAACTGTTCAGTTATGGGTAAAATTAATAAAGTATCTCTTGAAATTGTGTTCAAAAATGTTTGAAAAATTTAATGTTTCAAATAATATTTCACTTTCAAGACATTTACATAAAGAACAGGGGATACTACTGATGATCTAAGTTTGTCATTGGCTGAAAAATAAAATCATTTTGGTATTATTTGATAGTTATTGAAGAATCAACCAATATATATTACAAATAGTAAACAACCGGGGTTGATATTTGACTGGGGCCAGGGCCAGGTAGATAAAATATATATATATTTTTTAAAGATACAAAATTAAAATAGCTGAAATAAAAAAAAAAAAAAACAGAATTTTCTTTCAACCAGTTGAAAGAAAATTCTAATCTTTTTTCTGAATTCAAATACATATTAAAAAAATACAAGTTTAAAATAAACTTCATACATTTCAATTTGAAAATTTTTTGTTCAAAACATCATAGTAAATTCAAATTCAATAACAAAAAAAAAATCCATTAAAAAATAAAACACACTTAACACAAATTAAAGCTTTTGTAATTTTAATGTTTTGCATTATGCTGTAAATAGTTAAGCATATTAGGTCTTGTTTTTGATGTTTTAAATGTTTTTTAACTTTTTGCTATTTATACTGCTTAAGTTTAAACACAAAAATTTAAGTTTAAGCACAAGAATTTAAGTTTAAGCACAAGAATTTAATTACTGATTGAAATCAGTTGGTTCAATTAAATTTAAAAGCTATTCACTTTTCAAGATGGCTCAACTTAACAAGAATTCATTTTGGAAGGTCAAAGTAGCAGTTTTATTGAATTTAATAATCGTTGACTACTGACTGCCCATTATTTTCCACACTGTGGAACATATATTTAGAACTTGAATGTTCCACTAGATAATTTCAAACTAAATAGTTTAGTAATTTTGGTCTTAAGTATTTGGTATTATATTTAAATTATATAATATTAATTTTGTTTTATCAAAAATATGCGCAAAGACATAACTTTCTTATATTAAACAAAAATCACAGAAAAAATAAAATTTATAAAATTAAGATTTTAAAACTAAATGACAATAATTAGCAGTTTGTAACTTTTGAAAAAAAAAACTTAATGACAATAATTAGCAGTTTGTAACTTTTGAAAAAAAAACCTAATGACAATAATTAGCAGTTTAACTTTTGAAAAAAAAACCTAATGACAATAATTAGCAGTTTGTAACTTTTGAAAAAAAAACCTAATGACAATAATTAGCAGTTTGTAATTTTTGAAAAAAAAACTTAATGACAATAATTAGCAGTTTGTAACTTTTGAAAAAAAAACCTAATGACAATAATTAGCAGTTTGTAACTTTTGAAAAAAAAACCTAATGACAATAATTAGCAGTTTGTAACTTTTGAAAAAAAAACCTAATGACAATAATTAGCAGTTTGTAACTTTTGAAAAAAAAACTTAATGACAATAATTAGCAGTTTGTAACTTTTGAAAAAAAAACTTAATGACAATAATTAGCAGTTTGTAACTTTTGAAATAATTAGCAGTTTGTAACTTTTGAAATAATTAGCAGTTTGTAACTTTTGAAATAATTAGCGGTTTGTAACTTTTGAAAAAAAAAAAGATGAAAAAAGTATGCTGATATAACTTTTGAAAAAATTGTTTTTTTTTTTACTTTAAAAAATAAAATTAATAATAAATTTTTTTGGTATTTTTTTACTTGTGATTATTTATTTATTTGTTGACAAATTGTCCTTTTTTGATAGCTTATTCTTTTTTGATAACTTATCCATTTTTTTTATAAACTATAAATAAAAACAAAAATTAAAATCATTTATTGTATAGTATTTTTATGTTTTTATATTTATTTCATTTGTTTATTTTCAAACAAGTTATTATTAAACTCAACTATTATTAAAGTTTATTATTTTTATTTAAATGGCTTGTTCATACCAGAGTTGTGGAGTCGGAGTTGGAGTTGTGACATTTTTAGCGGAGTCGGAGTCGCTAAACAAAATCGCGACTCTAACTCCAATAGTAAAATTTCCCGGTATTACACTTGCGTGTACAGAATATGTTCATACTAAACCTTAAAGAATGTTTCTTAAATTTATCAAAAAAGGAATTTTTAACTTATCGCGTAATATTTTTTTAAGAATTCAAAGAATTTTTTAAAAATTTTGCTTTGGAGTTTGAGTCGGAGTTGGAGTCGGAGTTGTGCTCAAAAAAATTTCAATAACTGGAGTCGGAGTTGGAGTTGTACTCAAAAAATTTCAACAACTGGAGTCGGAGTCGTTACTTTTTTTTTATGACTCCACACCCCTGGTTCATACTTTATGAAAACTATCAAACTTTGGTAAAAGTAAACCAAACATAATTGCAGAATTCGAAATAGAAATCAATTTTTTTAGGGGATAATGAATATTTGTTTCCTAGTGCTGACTAAATATAAAGCTTATAACAATTTTGGCTAAACCTTCTAATTTTGCCCGTCCCAACAAAGTTAAAAGGTTTAGCAGAGTTTGATAACTATATGTTATTTAATATATTATATAATATAACTATAATATTTAATATATGTACAGTTTATATTTATCCACTTATTTACTATTTATTAAATACTGCCATATAATATGGATATATATATATATATATATATATATATATATATATATATATATATATATATATATGTGTGTGTGTGTGTATATATATAAATATATATATATATATATATATATATATTATATATATATATATATATATATATATATATATATATATATATATATTAATTAGGCATAATATAACTAATATATATATAATTAGGCATAATTAATTAGGCATTAATTAGGCATAATATAACTAATATATATATATATATATATATATATATATATATATATATATATATATATATATATATATATATAATATATATATATATATATATATATATATATATAAACATATGTTTGTTATTTATTTATGGCATACAATATCCTTACATATTTATATAAATTTGTATTTATATGATGTAGTATTTACTGCAAGTGATGATGATGATCAGATGGATGTGTGGTGTGACTCTAACAAGACGCAAAATAAGCCATGGTTTTAGACAGAGATTAGGAGTAGTGAGTATCGGAAAAGGTTTGTCAGAGAAGATTAAGGTGGTTTAAGTATGTTGAGCAATGCAGATGATTTGGGCATCTAGAGAGGTAGCAGCTTTAGGTAAAAGAGGTAGAAGTAAGAAAACTTGAAAAGAGTGTCTTACATATGGTAAGAACAAGCTGAATATAAGTATATATACTGAATATATACTGAATATATTTCTAAATGTTAAACAAAATTGGTTAAAAAATGCTTAAAATAATTGTGGTTAAAAATGGTTAAAACAATTGTGTAAAATCTTTTTAAACTTCTTTTATGTTTTAATTATTCTTGTTTATGTTATTGTATATGGTATAATATATATAGAGAAAAATGTGCTAATATTGTATTGAGCTTCAACTTTTAATTCATAAAATTATTTGAGCAGTCAGTCTTTTTTTGTTTGTTTTTTCCTTAAATATAGTAATACTCAAAAAATATTTATTAAATTATTAAGTTAAAAATGAGTGAATATTTTTTTAATTGTAGGATTCAAAGGAAATGCACGTGTAATAATTCCAGGAAAGACTGCATGCATCGAATGCAACTTAGACTTGTTTCCGCAACAGGTAATTTTTATCCTAAAAAAAACTGGTAATTTCTTTTTTTTTTTTAGTTTTTAATTTAACTGCAAGCTTCTTGTTTTTGATTTTAATTAACTTTTATAAAACCTTTTGATGGTAAGAAAAACCAAACATTATGCCCATTTTTACCGATCAGTTTGATACAGAAACCAATTATATATGTGTCATTTTCTACATTTGATTTCCAATTTTTTTCAACTAGTTCTCTGACTGCAAGCAACTACTACTTTAGGAGTTTAGGAGTTAGGGTACTAAGTACTATGTTGGGTTGTTTCTTATTTTGGGTTATTTACTGCCAAGTACCAGAAAAAATAAGACATTGTTAAGGAGCAAGATAAAAGAATTGTAGAAAATGGACTTGGAAGAAAAGAAATAGCGAGCATGATAAATAGAAGCAACCTTAACTTTGCAACAGATTGTATATATGGTTTCCATTAGAGGTCAGTAGTGAATGATAATTTGAAAAGCGGTAAAGTAAAGGGTTCAGTGAGAGGGTTGCTATTCATCAATATTAGAGTGTCAACAATATTGTGATTGTTATTTATATTAAATAATAAATCACAATAATGTTGACATTCTAATATTGTTATTGGAGTTTTTTTGGAGTTATTCATGAGCCACTTCAAACCCCAAACTGTTATAGAAGAGAAATCAGATTCATGATAGTCCAAGTGAAGACTTTTTGTCAAAACAAGTGTGTAAAGCTGAATAATCAGCAAATAGAGCTACTTGAGATGTAAGACTGTTAGGAAGATCATTAATATAGATAAGAGACAATACCAAGGATAAATAATTTGTATAGGAGAATGCATATACAAATTATTTATTTAACCAGATAAATTTATAAATAAGAAAAAAAATCATGTTTTTAGCTAAGTTTAAAGTGATGATATGTAATTTTGATGTTGGTTCTAAAATTTTTATGTATCTAAAAAATTTTAGTAAATTAAGATGGTTTTCATTTAAAATGATTTTACCCAACATGAAAATTAGTAAATAGCTTATGTAAAAGTTGTTTTTAATTTGATATGGAATATATTTTTAAATAAAGTATTCATTAATTATTTTTTGCATTCATTATTTTTTTTTTTGAGCTTCTCAAACTTAACTTGGTAATTTTCTTGTAAATTTGTGCTGTTTTTTTTAAACCAGATCGAATCTTACGTTTTTTCAAAATTGTTAACTTGCCTAAAGGGCCTCTACTGTGGCATTATAAAAAATAATTATATAATATAATTATGTAAAACATTTTAAAAAATAATTAACTAAAGAAGAAATAATTTAGTTATTAAAAATAATCAAGTTATTATTATTTTTTTAATATTATAAAGAGAACTGAGGCAAAGTAACATTTTTTTTATTTACATGATTTAAAAAAGTTGAACAGTACTTTTTTTCAGAAAATATATTTTATTATGTTGACAAATATGAAAAATGTTTAACATTTATTTATTTAATTAACTAAAACATTATTTTAATCGAGGAAAATAAAATTGTAATACATTGCTGAATTAGATTTTTTCAGACAATTTATTTAAGTTGACAAAGCTGTTAATTCCAACTCAATTAAGTATTCAGTTAATCAAAAATGGAGCTTTATTAACAAAGCTGTTAATTCCAACTCAATTAAGTATTCAATTAATCAAAAAGTATTGAATTAATCAGCCATTAAATAAATACTTTTTGAAAACTTTGGAATATAAGTTATTTTACAGGACTTTAAAAATGTGTGTGAAAAAAAATGGAAATGTTATAAAGGTTTGAAAGACAAATGTTTCAAAAATAATGGATATGTGTTTATATATTTACAAGAATCAAAAGATATTATTTATAAAGTAGAGATTGCCTATTTAACAGAACCATATGTTTCAAAACAAAGAAAGTCATTTAAGCGGAAAAAGAAAAAGACAGAAATTTGTCAATTGTATAAACAATTTTATCACTAATGAATGTCCAGAGTTTAATGTTAACCAGTCATTGGGTGACCTTTTAATACACAAATTAATAAGACTATTGCTTTGTGTTTGTAAGGTAAGACTGTTCTTGAGTTGGCAATGCACTTTTTAAAAACCATATGGAAAGAATAGATACCTTTAACACTGATGAATCCATAGCTTTAATGCATTCCCTTACACTAAATAAATGAGAAAATTAAGATTTTTTTTTTCTTCAAAAGACATCTATTTTTCAACAACCGACAAATTACTTGAATTGCATTTGATACAGTTGAGCACACAATCCTCTTAGAAAAGTTGAAACACTACGGTATAAGAGGTATTCCTTTTCTCTGGTTTTCCTCTTATCTTTGTAATAGAACACAATTTGTTTCAATTAATGGTATCAACTCAGGACTAGCTAAATCTTTTAATGGTGTTCCGCAAGGCTCGGTTTTAGGTCCATTACTTTTTCTTATTTTTATCAATGATTTAAATGTTTCTCTTAAATTTTCTACTGCTTATCACTTCGCGGATGAAACCAACTTACTCCTAATTAATAAATCACTTAAAAAACTTAACAAAAATATGAATCACGATCTAGCTAATGTTGTTCAATGGCTTCGCTCCAATAAATTATCTCTTAACTCTAAAAAAACGGAAATTATTATATTTAAATCTGCTAAAACAAAAATAAATAAGCAACTAAATTTCAGATTAAGTGGCCAAAAAATAAATCTTAACTCTATTAGTTAACTCTATTAAACATCTTGGAATCAAAATAGACTCTAATTTATCTTTTGCATCGCATCTTCAAGACTTAGCATTGAAATTAAGCAGATCGAATGGTATTTTAGCTAAAATTCGTCATTTTGTTAACCATGAAACTTTGCTTAATTTATATCATGCTATTTTTCACTCTCATCTCAGATATGCTTGCCAAGTTTGGGGACAATCTAAGCAGCTTGCTTTTTTAAGACTAACTTATCTCCGAAACAAAGCTCTAAAATTAATTTACTTTCAACATACTAATTCGAACTGTAGCATACTCTATTTTTTATCTAAATTCCTTAAATTGTGTGACCTTATTCAGCTATCAAATTGTCTATTTGTTTGGAACCAAAATCATAATAACTTACCTCTTACATTTATCAACTTTTTTAGTTATAGGGAAAACTGTAAATATATTCTACGATCTGCTCTCAACTTTAAATTATCTGTACCTAAATGCCGAACTGTTCATTACAGCTACGAATCCATACAACATAAAAGCATACAAACCTGGAACAATCTCCCTTCCCAATTAAAATCTCTTAAATCGTTCTCAAAATTTAAAACTGCTCTCTTTAACCATTTTTTAGAAAAATACTCTTTATAAATCTTATACCTTTTTACAACTTTTTATTTATAACCCTAACGCAGTGCTTCTATTCATCTTTTATTTTTTCTCTTTTCTATCGTGATATATTACTAATTTTAATATCAATTATTAAATTTATTATTATAAACTGATATGTTTCTATAGTATTCTCTTATCACTGTTGTTGTTATTATTACTATATTTTTATCATAATGAATATTATTGTAATTGTTATTATTGTTGTTGTTATTATTTTTGTTGTTATTATTGCTATTATTATTATTATTATTATTATTATTATTGTTATTATTATTATTATTATTACTATAGTATATTCTTTTTATAATCGCTACTATTATTTTTTATCACTATTATTTACTACTATTATTTTTTTAATCACTACTATTATTTTTATTATTCCTACTTGTATTATAATTATTATTATTACTATCTCCATCTTATTTTTATTCAGTTTGACAGGTGTTTACTTTATATTAGTACAAATTACTATTTGTAAATATCCTTGATGTAACAACTTTATTCAGAATATATTTGATTTGATTTGAAGGTAGAAAAAAAACTGCGACCTACAATTAGTCAAGTTTTGTATGCAAAAGGTTTACTTGATTTTTAAAACTACTGTATTGGTGTCACATAGATTATAGACAAGGTTGAAAAAACAGGACCACTTGGTGAACCATTGAATAATGAAGACACAAGGTTATTACTCAAATGTAAGGAAACACTGGACTGTGATATGTGCTGCAACTCTGGTGGGAATGAAAACATTTATAACAGGGTCACAAGGGTGTAGATTTTTTTCTGAATATGGAAAAACACTAAAAGCACAACAGGGACATCATTCATGTGCACAATAGCACTGTTAATACACTGATAGTTTACAGCTGCTTATGGAATCAGCCATTGAATCTCTGAGAGCTTCACCTGAGTTTAGAAAAAATTTACTACCAGCTGGCCATTTTAGAACTTTACCATTATTAGAATGAGTTGTACAGCCACCATCAAGTATTAACCAGAAACCCATGATTAGAGTCAAGATGATTCAGCACTCATCATCCTAAGCAAGATACAATATAGTGCAGGTTTGAAACTAATGCTTAGTCAAAATTATAGATGAAGAAAGGGCACACCCTTTCTTTATCTGTTATGCTGGCATAAATCTAAACCTGCGCTATAATTCTGTTGTCCAGCCTCACAAGGTTGGTCAACAGAATTACTCTGCTTACCCTTAAAGCCTATATTTAGAGATCTACAAGACAGTAGCTGGATTCAGTTAACATCTGTCCAAGATGAGTATTTTTATCAAGGCACCATCTCACCCCTAACTCTACGAAGAGCCCCATGGAAGGAGTTTTTTAAGTTAGAGGTAGCTCTGCCTAGAAAAACAAATTTTAAGGCAGTAGGGCATGGGGCAGGTTGTACTGGATTACATGTTACTATTAACAGGGTGAATGTGATGATCCTGTACCTGACCTGAAGTAGTTAAAAGTAGTTACTTCTGTAAGTAATACTCTAATACAGTAACTCTAATTGAATGAGAGATTTTGGATATGCATTAAGAAAAACATTTTATCTAAAGTATATTAAGGTTTATAATTTTCAACTAAAATATAAGATAAATGGTAAGTTATATAGCTGTAGTCACTAGTTAGTTACTGAGCTAATGCTTCACCAGAATTTCAAACAGAACACAAACATATAGTAACTTACAGGTTTACTATAACATATACCTTTTAGAATTGATTCTTTATAGTTGGAAAGCATATTTGTTCTCAGTTGTTCTCAGAAGAGTTTTGTTCTCAGAAGAGTTGTTCTTGTAAAAAAGATTAAAAAAAAAAAAAGAATTACGATTAGAAATAGCAGCTGCACAAGAAAATTGGAGTAACCATGGAAAACTGTGGGGTAAAATGAGGATCAACTTGAAACTGACAAGAAGAAATAAAAGTTTCCATGCCTACCTGAATCTGTAAGATTATATTGAGGCATAATTATCATTGTAGAGACATCAGCACAAGGACCATCACAAAGAAAATCATTAAAGAAATCCCAATCAGCTTTAAGGTCGTTTCAAGAAATGATTAGGTGTGTCTGAAGTAGTATGAAATAAAATTTTAGAAAAATTAAAGCAATGTCTTAACCACCAAAAGGAAAATAAGCACAAGATATGGTCAGAGACAAGACATAAATCAAGGAATAAAGTTAAGTGATTAAGGTTGTCTGAACAATGAGTCACTAAGTTAACGTAAGAGATTAAGAAACACAAAAGTTATAAGCTTTAGTGATCTTAATTCTGTCATGAACTTAAAATATTGGAACATATTACTAGAATATATTACTAGAACATATTATTAAAACATATTACTAAAACATATTATTAGATCATATTACTAGAACATTTTACAAAAACATATTACTAGAACATATTATTAGAACATATTACTAGAACATATTATTAGAACATATTACTAGAACATATTATTAGAACATATTACTAGAACATATTACTAGAACATATTACTAGAACATATTGCTAGAACATATTACTAGAGCATATTACTAGAACATATTATAAGAACATATTACTAGTACATATTACTAGAACATATTACTAGAACATATTATTAGAACATATTACTAGAACATATATATAGAAGTATTTCTAGAACATATTATTAGAACATATTACTAGTACATATTACTAAAACATATTACTAGAACATATTACTATTAGAACATATTATTAAATATTTACTTAAGCAAATTACTATTGCAAAATACTGGATAAATATTTGAAACAAAATACTGGAATAAAATACTGGAATAAATTACTGAAGCAATTGCCCAAAAATATTTTTGCGAGTGAAGTCCAGTTTTTGGTAAAATATTTTTAGTATTACATTTTTGTATCAATTTAAATCTAAATATTTTCAATTGAAATAAAGTTTATTGTGATCCATTAGTATAATGGTTCATTTTTTGAAATGAAAAGTTGATATTTTCACATTTGAATAGTATAGACACCATTAGGTAGGTGTATTTAAAACTGCTCAAAATTTAAAAAATTAAAAAAACAATTACTGTTCATTTTATTAAACGTTATATGTTCTGGGTACCTGCAGTAAAAAAGAGGAAAGTTTTTACAACTCAAAAAATTTCAAAAATGTATTTGACTCAAATAAATTTTTTTTCAAGTTTTTTTTATAAATATCAGATAATAACAGATATTTCAACCAAAAATGTTTCTATGCTCAAGTATGTTTTTTTGCTATGGCTTATTTTTTGATTTTGCATTTTTTTGATGCTTTGAAGTCATTTTAAATATGTTAATTAGTTTTTTACTACTTTTTTACTACACGTTTTTAACAAATTTATATATATATATATACATATATATATATATATATATATATATATATATATATATATATATATATATATATATATATATATATATATATATATACATATATATATATATATATATATATTAGTGATGTGCTGATAGCATATTTGTGGTCGATGCCAATTAATGTTTAAAAGTCAATGTCGATATAACGATGAATTGATTAATTTTGAAAATATAAAACCATACAATTTTAAATTGTGTAAACTTTTTTCATAGAATCAGTACTGGTAAACAATTACTTGTACCCAAATCAGAGCCAAACCATTATTTTAAAAGATATTAGAAAAACTCAGTTAAAAAATATACATTTTTAAGTTTTTTTTACTATGAAAAGAAAGCTTTTAAAAAATAAATACAGTTTTCAAGTAATGCTTTTTATGTCAATTTTAAAAAGAAAATGGTACTAAGATTAGCAGTTTACTTAAAATTCTTTATTAATTTATTGGTAATTTAAATATCTAAACAACAATTATATAGAAATATAGAAGGCTATACTTGAACATATAGATAACAATGCTTAAATTGGTTACTTTTATAACAGTAGAACAACACAAAATAAAATTATTATAAAAACAACTTGGTAATAAAAGTATAAGTACATTCAGCTGTTAAATTAAAACTTATAAACATCTTAAGAAACAAAGTAAACAAAGTCAAAATAACTATTTCTCAAAAAATTCTAAATAATGCATAATGTTTAGTTTTTTTATTATTTAATTATTATCATAAGGCATAATAAAAATATTAAAATGCACAACATTTTAGTATTTTTATCATGCATTGGTTGGAAAATCAGTAAATTAATAACAAAAAGGCTGATGCTGATACTGATTCTGATAGTAAAAAAAGTGGCAGATTAAGCCGATGCCAATCAATCAGTACATCACTAATATATATATATATATATATATATATATATATATATATATATATATATATATATATATATATATATATATATATATATATATATATATATATATATGTATATATATATATATTTATATATATATATTTATATATATTTATATTTATATATATTTATATTTATATATATATATATATATATATATATATATATATATATATATATATATATATATATATATATATATAAATATATATATATATATATATATATATATATATATATATATATATATATATATATATATATATATATATATATATTAGGGCTCTTCGAATCACCTTTTTTAGTATCAAATCGAATCTGAATCGAATCAGGCGTTGATTCGCAAATCGATTCGAATCTTGTAACAAATCAGCTTTTCGAGGATATCTATATTTTAGTTAAACTTAGATTTCCTCAAAATGGTAATTGGACTCGTGATTCAATTCGCAAATCAAGAATTGCTTCGAATTATGATTCGATCCGAAACTAAAAATTGTGATTTGCAGGGCCCTAATATATATATATATATATATATATATATATATATATATATATATATATATATATATATATATATATATATATATATATATATATATTTATATATATATATATATATATATATATTTATTATTATTAATATATATATATATATATATATATATATATTTATATATATATATATATATATATATATATATATATATATATATATATATATATATATATATATATATTCAACCCTCGGAATTAGGGTCAGCATTTGGCAATGCCAACCTAACTGCCAACCTAAAAGTGTTTGGGGTCGACAATTATTGCCGACGTTGTTTCTAAATTTTATTTTAAGACGTTTGTTTAAATTTTTTTTGCCCACCTGATGCTGACCTCTAAAAGATTAAAGTCGGCAAATTATTGCCGACCTTATTTTTCCTAATTCCAAGGGTTGTATATATATATATATATATATATATATATATATATATATATATATATATATATATATATATATATATATATATATATATATATGTATATATATATATATATATATATATATATATATATATATATATATATATATATATATATGTATATATATATGTATATATATATGTATGTATATATATATATATATATATATATATATATATATATATATATATATATATATATATATATATATATATATATACGGTTAATTACATGGACACAAACGTATTAGGCTTTTGCTTGCTTCAATAATATTGTTATATATAGTATATTAAAAATTTATACAGATAAACTACCCAATGTGCACCATAGCAGAAACACCGCGTCTTCCTGAACATTGTATTGAGTATGTAAGAACATTACTATGGGGAAATGAGAAACCATTTGGAGGTGAATGAATATTTTCATAAGTAATAAAAAAATTATAAACTTTATTTTAATAGATTTTATAATAAAATAAATTTTAATTTAATAATAATAATAAATGACTACAAACTTTTTCGACAATTGTAAAATGGTATACAGACCTTGTAATCTGATTATAATACTTTGTATTATAATCAGATTTTGTCTGAACATTGCAAAGTAAGACATAGAAAGAAGATTTAAAAGTTAAGTTTAAGCAGTATCCTTTAAACATTCAATAAAATCACAAGCCAGAAATAAATTTATTGGATAGTTTTTATATGGAAAATTTGAAAGGCTGTTCTTATTTCCCTTATTTTTTTTAAGAGACTGACCTGCATAATTTTTTTTTTTTTCAATAAAAGTGTTATTTGCTTTGTAAAATGAGATGATGGCGACAAAACTAGTGAATAACATATCATTAAATGTGCTTTTCAATAAATGATAAATGTTTTTCAAACTTTACAACAAACTTTATTTTTATTTATTTTGAACACTTTATATTATACATAGTTAAACTGAACATTATAGTTAAACAATAAATTACTTACAAATTTATTATTGTTATTATTGTTAATGAAATTTTAAAATTTAAAGGTTTCTAAAAATACTCTGCAAAATTTTAATAGTTATTAAATACTTTTGACATTAAACATTTATTTTAAACTAGGAATAAAGTGATTTATTAGTAAATAAAGTTCATAATTATCATAATTAATTATTATTCACAATTATCATAGTTTACTGTTAATAATTAACTTCTTCATAAGTTGTTTCAAAAATAAGTATATGTCTTATAAACCATATAAAATATTTGAAAAAAGTCATATTTAAAGTTGTGTGTGATATTTATTCTTTGTGATATTTATTCTTTTTGGGTTGTTACTGTTTTTAGATCAAAATTAATTTGATTTCATTAATATTGTTTGTTTTTGTGAAAGATGTTTGTGTTGATGGTGATGATACTTCTCACATACAATGGATTTATGAGAAAGCATCTATTCGTGCAAGGCAATATGGTATACATGGTGTATCCTTTAGACTCACACAAGGTGTTGTGAAACACATAATACCAGCAGTTGCCTCAACAAATGCTGTAATTGCAGGTTTAAAGTTTTTTTAAGTTTTAATTTTCCTTATTCCTATTAGATTTAATAATATAATTGTAATCCTAACCACACAGACACACACACACATATATATATATATATATATATATATATATATATATATATATATATATATATATATATATATATATATATATATATATATATATATATATATATATATATATATACCAAATCTTGGGCATCAACTTTCCTTAATTGAAGTTTATTCATATTATCTTCAACTACCCTTGCCTCTACCTCATTTTCCTAAAACCTTTTACTCTCTAGATACTGATATGTAATCATTTGGAACTTTACCATCTAAATGCCCAAATAACCCTAAAATACTTTGTTAAAACACTATCAGGTATACTCACTATATACCATTGCATCTTTTATAAATACAATGCCTCAAAATTGTACAAACAATAGAGTTTGCTCAAACTCTTTTCTTACACATTCCTCTATTTTCCGGTATCATCTACTTTATTATTATATTCTTTACAATGCATAAACTTTGTTTTATTAATGTATATGCTAAGCCCTTTTGCTTCTATTCCATTTTTCCAATGCTAAACTCTTAATTATTCTTCTATCTTAGCAATCAAGCATCTCCGTAGAGTAGCTTCCATGGTAAGCCTTTACTGAACTCTTTAGAGGGAGCTTATAAAACAATGAAAAACCAAAATTTTAAGCACTGAACTCACAACAACTTTTACTTTAATAGCATTTTTTTTCCCATCTTTTGTTTTGAATGCTATTGTGGTATTTTTATGCATACTCATTATAACTTTTATCCATTCTTTTTTATTACCCATTCTTCAATACCTTAAAAGTCACTACACTACCTCTCTTTGAACTTTGTTGAGTGCATATGAAAATAAGGTCAACTTCTTTTCATATGCAACTTTTAGAATTTTTTAAAATTTTCAAATGCAAGTATTTATGCAATGTATATAATACCTATAATGCAAGTAATTACTTTTGCATTAGCTTTAAAAGTTTAAATGTTCAAATTATATTTGGCAATAAATTTTATTTTAGCAATTTGTGCTACAGAAGTTTTGAAGTTAATTACTTTGTAAGTTTTTAAGTTTTATTATTTAAAAAAATGATGCTTTTAATTTAAGCAAAAATTATTTAATGAAAAAAAAAATTGTTCATTTTATATCTTTAAAATTTTGACATTCTGTTACTTTGAGTATGTCTCACAATTTTAGTTTTGAATAATTTTTTTTCATTTTCAGAGATTTTCAATTTTGAGAATTTTTTTTTGAATAAAATAATATTAAAAATAATGGTATTTATGATTTGTAATGATTAGAAATAATCATAATTATGTTTGCATTGACATCATTAATCTTTAGTTAAAAAAATGTCAAAAAAATTTTTAGTTGCTACAATCATATAAATAATTACATTAATTTCAATGATGGTCAAGGCGTTTATACATACACATTTGAGGCTGAAAAAAAGGTATATTTTAGATAAACTAGCTTAGCCTTATTATAAAAAATATTGACAAAATTATATCTCACTAATAAATTTTTGTTTCAGGATGATTGTTCCGCTTGCAGTCATAAACCTATTCCGCTTAGTGTTGATATTAATACCAACCTTCAAAACATGATTACTCTGCTTAAACAACATCCTAGATTGTATGTTTGTTTTATTTTCAGAGGTTTATATGATAGTATAAAAATAATTTGATATTTTTTAATTAACTTTTTATATAGACTGTTTGTTATTTAGTTTTTGCATATTAAATTATTTTTTATAATTTTATGTTTATGACAGTTGAAAGAAACTTAAGGTCTCTTAAAACATCATTATGATGGTGGTAGTTTTTAGCTAATGACCACATTAGCTATAAACTACCACCAAAACAAACACATAGATTCTCCATTAGAAATATTTAATTGACTAAATACATTAATATTTTCTAGCCTTTTTTTGCACTTTCGCACTTCCTTAGTATTAAAAAACATAAACATAGTGTTTTAGAATTTTATAAAATTCAATTTAAAATTAGGATTTAAACAGTAAAAAATTAAAAACATATATGAACTATTTATTTATATTGCATACTTTTTGTTCTTTCATAGATAAACTATCTTTGTTTGAACTCATCCTTATTTAAATAATATTTTTTCTTTTAATAGATAATATGTGGTTGAAATGTTGATATAGATTTGTATGTTATCTATATGTGTTTTTATCATGTGTGATTGAGTTTTTCATTTAAGGATTCATATATATATATATATATATATATATATATATATATATATATATATATATATATATATATATATATATATATATATATATATATATATATATATATATATATATATATATATATATATATATATATTAGGGTGGTGCAAAAAAATTTTTTTTTTAATTTCTTTGATGGTACCATTTCTTTATGTGACATTATGTGTAGGAATAACAATCGTGAAGTTTGGGCATGATTGAATAATTTTTAAAGGTTGCTCATCAACATCAAGTTTTTTACTTTTTGGGTTTGAGTTCTCTTTTAGTGTGCAATCCCAAATTTTGAATAAATTATGATACAACATTGCATTTTAACTCTTACTGTATATTAATCCAAAACCATGCAGTATTTTTTAAACTGAATTATATATATTATTGTTTACAAATAAAATAATTGAAGAATAAAGTAATAAACTTCTGGTTTATAATGACGTATTTGTGTTCACTATAGTAAAGACAAATTTAAAAAACAATAATAGTTCCAAAAAATCTTAAAAGTTGTTAGAGTTTTAGGTTTCATTTATATTTCAGCTTCTTTGCAAAAAATTATTGTAATCTATGAAAAAAAATTCATTGGTTTTTGTTTCCATCGTTTTTTGATGACTTGGTTCCATCGATCAACAAAGATTTCTGTGGCAGAGGAAACTTTGACCTGTGTTCAGAGACTACCTGCAACAAGAATTACTTTTGTTCTTCATTTTTGGTAATTGAACAATTGCAAAGTAAGACATAGAAAGAAGATTTAAAAGTTAAGTTTAAGCAGTATCCTTTAAACATTCAATAAAATCACAAGCCAGAAATAAATTTATTGGATAGTTTTTATATGGAAAATTTGAAAGGCTGTTCTTATTTCCCTTATTTTTTTAAGAGACTGACCTGCATAGTTTTTTTTTTTTTCAATAAAAGTGTTATTTGCTTTGTAAAATGAGATGATGGCGACAAAACTCAGGATCAACAGTTGTCAAAAAAGTAGTTGGTAATTCCAAAATGTTGAAAAAATTTAAGGTATTCTCTGTTACAAAACTTTCTATTTGCAGATTTTCAATTGAAGTTAAATCGATTTTTATTCTTTTCTGTGGTTCATCCTCTCCAGCATTTTGTAGAGCCAAAACCATTTTTGCTTTTGTTTCCTTGCTGATCTCCTTATCAAAAAAAGCCAATGCTACCATTTCTTCACTTAGATACCATAAATGCCTCGAAAATGCTGTTGCTGCAGCTGTAAAAATTCCATTGTTAATGGCTTTATGTTGAAAAACAGTCTTCAAGAAAGTGAGATCATTCGACGGAGCAAGTGTTGGATTGGTACATGATATCCAAAATTTGGTGTACACCAAACTAGCAAACAAGCTAATACCTCGAAGTGATTTTTCTTCTTTTGCCGTTAATTTGAACTGCCTTTTGAACATCCATATTTTCATTGAATATAAAATTTTGGCCATCCACCTTCCTCTGTGTATGGCTCCGGGAGCCATTACATGAGCCCCACGAGGAGGAACATCACCAAGAAACAACAAGGTTAGTACCAACAATTCCTTGTAGTCATCTCGATATTGTTTACCAGATTCAAGAATTGTTTTCAAATAAAATAGTGCATCCTGTTTGAGTATGGTGTGAGAAGCCAAAATGTCCGAACATGTTTGATCATTTAACGCTGTTTCATAATTATTTTTGTCAATTAATGACTACTTGTCACAAAAACGTTTAAATAATCCTATTTCAGGACCACTGGATTGCCCAAGAGAATGCTTAAAAACATCACTCAAGACGATTTCATACATATGATGACAGCATGCCAAGTGTAATAGTTCTCTATTAAGCTTTTTTTCAATTAAAGTACACGCTCCAGCTTCGGTACCAGTGTTGGCAGCCGTTGTATCAAAACTAATTGCTTTAACTCGGTCTTGAATGTCCCAATCTAGTAAAGTTGTTATAACAGCTTCACTTATTGCTTTACCAGTACCGCTTGTTAACTTTGGAATGCCAAGAAGCTGGTCAACGTTGTAACCTGTAACAACAACTGCTAATCGATCAACTGAATCTCTTCCAGTAATATTTGGCAATATTTTGCCATCAAAATGAACAGTCAATGGAACATTTGACGAGTTGAATGCAAACTTTATGGTTGTAGCAATTTTGTTTCGATTAGTAATTCTAGCTCTCCGGATCGTATCGCAACTAATAGCAAAATCTGTAATGTCATGACCTAAACCTTTTGCTGCAGCTGCCAGTAAAAAAGTCGCTTGGCGATCCGTGACGGTCAAGAGCAGATGCTAACTCAGGTGAAATGATATTTTGAGATCGCGATTGCTTTTTTACAACATTTTGATTAGATTTCTTTGGTTTCATAAATTCTTCATCTGAGGTTTCAGTGCCAGATGTAGACTTGTCAGATAGGTGCATTGAATCAATGTGACTTGTATTTTCAGCTTCTTTTTTTCGCTTTTTTTCCTGAAAACGACTGGACTCTTCTAATTCTTTTCTTTTCTGGACACGTTCTTCTGTTTTTGCCAATGCCATGTCAACTCCGGCCATGTATCCCTTACGTTCACCTTGCTGATCTATTAGAAATAGTCTGTCTTCTTCAATTGTAATCAAACTCATGGCATCAGCATGTGCTATATCAAAAATGCGATCAATTTCTTCACAAAAAACATTTTCATTTGCTGTTTGTGTTGCCGAAGCTCGTTTCATGTTTTTCTTTATTTTAGCCCATTTGTAAAAAATATTTTCAAGTTTTTCAATTGCATTACGTTCAATAGTTGTTAGAATTCTTGCCATATTCCACAAATGAAATACTTCTCGAATGACACACCTTGCACTTTGTCTAACGGTTTGTTTTTCTATTTTGTGAATATGAAAAAATACTGCAAGAACTTGACGACATGTTGGAAGCTTCATCCCAGAAATATTTGGAGAAACAGACCCAACAAGATAAATGTCAGTAGTTGTTCGAGTTTCAATTTTTTTCGAAAACGAAGGGAAAGATAACTGAGAATTCATATTACAGGATATTTCTGAAAATCAAAATATAACCTGAGTAAAACAATTGTTATCACAAAATGAATTTATTTTTTTAAAGCCTCAAATCAGCACTCATATGAACAAAAATTAAAATGCTTTGCGGTATATTGTCAAAGATAGTTGCACGCTATTAAATTAGAAAAATATATTTAAAAAATATTTAAAACGATTAAAATAATTATCATAATTAATTAAATTAAATCAAATTAAGAGTTATGTCATAATAAAATAAATAAACAAATGTACATATTAAAAACTTCACAGTAACGTTAGAATAGGAAAATAATGGCAATTAAAAGAGGAAACATGGCCATGAGCGACCTCTAAAAGTCATTCAAATTTGCTTAAATTTTGCAGGAATTAATATAATGATAAAAGGAACAATAGGAAAAAGTACCACATTGATTTTTGAAACTTTTAAAATTGTCAATATATTTGTGCACCACCCTAATATATATATATATATATATAAATATAAGAGCAATTCTTATAAACTAGCAGCTTTCGACATGTTTTTATGATGTATGTTTTTCCTTGTTATTTTGTTATGGTCTCAAAATTACATTTAATTCGGACCGTAGAGAAAACTTTACTTTTCGAAAATTTCGATTTAGATATGGTCTCAAAATTACTTTTAATTCTGACTTAAAACAGAGTGAAAGTGAAATAATTTTAATAATAACAATAAAAATAAATTAAAAAAAAAAAAAAAAAAAAATTGTTTTATAAACACCAATATGAATGAAGATATACATCACCAGACAAAAACTTATAAAATAAAAAATCGATCACAAAATAAAAAATATGATAGCAACAATGAAAGGCATTTAATAATGGAAAAAAAAAACATTAATGCTAATGTGTAAACATAATTTGTGTAGTGATTAAGTAATAAACATCTACTCAGAGTCGCATCTATTATTACTGGCGTTTCGATGAGAATCAGCATTTATAACTAGTTTATCCCGTCAGACAAACGTCATTGCCACTTATGCTTTACCTCGCGACTTATGCCTATTCCATACTGCAGTAAAAAAGGACTCACTACAAATAGCCAAAACCCAACCAACCCCAAATTTGTAAAGCACCAATATTTTTTTGATGATATGAGATAAAAAGTGTAGATTTACTGAACAAACAAAAATAAAAATAGTTAAATAAAAAACTTACCATACCACAAAAAGAAAACATGAAAACAAAATAAATTAAAATTCTAATAGAAACATAAAAAAATATTTCATAAATTTATTTTAAGAAATAAAACCAAATAGGTATTATTATCAGAAAGCAGTATACCTCATTAAAAAAAAAAATTTTAATCAACAAAACAACAATAGCCTTAAATAAATTCTAACGCTGTCATAGATACCTAATTCGAAATATGACAACCAATCAAAAGTGTAGGAAAATGAGCAACTCGCGAAATCCAAAATCATAACAATAATTGAATAATATATGATAACGAAAAAGAACGATATAAAAAATAAGGATATAAAAATATTCTCTGAATAATAATAAAGATGAAAAATGTGCGTGTGAAAATTAAAACAAAGCTGAGCAATGAATGCAACAAACAGTAATAAATATCAAAATCAGGAGATAAATAATATATCAACAAACACTGCAACAAGACTAACTATTTATTCATAACTATGAACATATTATAATCTATCAATAATTATGTATCATTCACAAAAGTCAAACAAATTCAGAAATTGATAAATTTATTTTGCTTTGCTTTGTTCTTTTTTTTGGGAACATCTATGATCATGTACTATTTAAAGGTGATATTACTTTTGATTTTTTTCTGGAACATCTATGATCATGTACTTAGGCCTGTAAATCGATCTGAACAAGCCAAGCTTGCCAGGGCTTGGCTCGGCTCGTTTACCTATTGAGACTCAGCTCGAGCTTGTTTGGAACATGAGATTCTTTGTTCAAGCTCGGATCGTTTTACATGTTGCTCGAGCTCCACTGGTTTAAAACTCAAAATAATTATTGTAACCTGTTAGTTTAAAGCTCGTTTAGTAAAAAAAATTGTTCGTTAAAATTTTTCTGTTTTGCATAATTTGTACATTCTTTAATCCATTAAAAATGGTTTAAAAAATATATAGGGCCTGTTGGCAAATGACAGTAGTCAATAGCAGCCTCATGTAATTAAATTGTTCATATTAATCAATTATTTAGTGTAATAAGAGTTATATGGGTCATATCTCATATGGTTACACTAACACTATATTTTTGTTATATACTAATATATATAATATCACAATTTTATTTATTACATATATTATTATAATATAAATAAATATATATATATATGTATATATATATATATATATATATATATATATGTATATATATATATATATATATATATATATATATATATATATATATATATATATATATATATATATATATATATATATTTGAGCTTTAATCAAGCCTATATGAATGAGCCTATGATGTTCAAGCTCGGCTCGTTTAATAAATGAGCCTAATTTTTTGTTCAAGCCCGGCTCGTTTACCATTCGAGCCAAACATAAACAAGCTCTTGTCGAGCTGATCACTAAGCCATTCACGAACACGAGCCAGGATTTACAGCCCCACATGTACTACTTAAAAGAGGTATTACTTTGTTCTTTTTTTCTGGGAACATCAATGATCATGTACTACTTAAAAGAGATATTAATTTGTTCTTTTTTTCTGGGAACATCTATGATCATGTACAATGGAGACTTTTGATTTTCTTATTTTATATTATTAGAGTTGTACTCTTTAAAGCAACTCTACTTTTCTGCATTAATGTTTACAAACTTTTAGATAAAAAATTTTCCAGGCATTTTATAATTATTGTTGAGCTTCCTTATTTTTGTATCAGTTTTTAGAAATTCAGTCAAGATTTTCAAACAATCAAAAAAAACTTTGTAAGTTATTAAGAAAATAAAATATAAGAAAAAAATTTGAGTTCTTTGTAACTTATCAGGGCCGACATTGCTGTTTTTTGGCGTTAGAAATAGCTAACTTCCAGACACTGTGCAAACTCCAAACATTTATATGTTTATACTTAAGTCAAATTAGGATGCCAGAATTTTGTTCCCAGGCTCCAACCATTGCAAAAAATTGCAATGATTGGAGCCTGGGAACAAAAAAGCCAAAAATTTGTGCCCCCAGCCTCAAACGTGAGAGCAACCAGTTGATAAAAAATTTTTTGTATTATTTTTAATTAGACTAATATTATTCTATAATTTTTAAATTTCATAGTAAAATATTTTAGCATTCAAAAATTATGACAATATAAAGTTTTAAATCCCCTCAATTTGAAGGGGTTACAAATTTTATGGACATAATTTTTGAACGCTTAGAGATTATACTTTGAAACTGAATATTTATTGATGAATATAAGTCTAGTTAAGAATAGTACATAAAATATTTTATCAACTGGTTGCTCTCACGTTTGGGGCAAGGAGGGGGCACAAGTTATGAGATTTTTTTGTTCCCAGTCTCCATTCATTGCTATTTTTTTCAAAAACATCCTTACTTGACATAAGTATAAACATATAAATGTTTGGAGTTTGCACAATGTCTGGAAATTAGGTATTTCTAATGCCAAAAACAGCACCGCCAACCCTGTAAATTGAAGTTTTACTTGTAATTTTTATTGAACATTCAACCATATTTCTAAATTTTGTTCTAAAATATTAAAAGTTATATATATGATACTAATAATAAAAATAAAAACAATAATAAAAGGTAAATAAAATCTAAACTGTAAAAGATATTTCTTTTATATAATTTAGATAATTTTTTTTTTTTTTTTGAAACTTCTTTGGATTTCAACTATAGTCACATTTTTAAAATATTTAAACAGACTTTTCTCTGTTACTTCTTTTATAGTTTTTGTTTAAGTAAAACTACTATCATCACCAAAAAGAAAAGATAATTAGATCAAAAGATCAAAAAGTAGTTGATCAAAAGATAGTTGATTTGCAATCAACTACAAAGATCGTAAAATTTGACAAAAAATTAAAAATGTTTCAATAATATATATAATAATATCAAAAATGTATTTTATAAAGTGTTTATTATTTTATTGACAATCTGTTTACACTAATTTTTTTTTTTTAAGCCAATTGCTTTCTCCATCTATTACATCATGGGTTGAAGGAAAAAACAAAACACTTTATATCTCGGTAAGTATTATTATTACATCATTAGATTCACTAGATTATAGTCATGGGTTGATGTTCACTAGATTATAGTCATGGGTTGATGTTCACTAGATTATAGTCATGGGTTGATGTTCACTAGATTATAGTCATGGGTTGATGTTCACTAGATTATAGTCATGGGTTGATGTTCACTAGATTATAGTCATGGGTTGATGTTCACTAGATTATAGTCATGGGTTGATGTTCACTAGATTATAGTCATGGGTTGATGTTCACTAGATTATAGTCATGGGTTGATGTTCACTAGATTATAGTCATGGGTTGATGTTCACTAGATTATAGTCATGGGTTGAAGGAAAAAAAAAAACACTTTCTTGGTAAGTATTATTATATTGATAAATTAAAGTTTATTGTTCTAATCTTAAAGACTTGAAATATTGAAAGTTTTATGAGTCAGGAAAACATGAATATGGGAGAGTATAAAATACCAATACCAATCTAAATATGTACAGGTACAAACAAGAGATTTATAAAGGTGTAGAATGGAATTAGGAGTAAGAAAATGGTAAGAGAGTGATAAGCATAATAAAGGGAAGCAACCTTAACAGATGCTAATTTTGCAATGGATTATATTTATATATAATTTCCATTAGAGGACGTAAGATGTAAACGTAAAGTAGAGGGTTCATTAAATGAGATGTCATTCATAAATATAGGAATGTCTACAATTTTGCAATAGTTGTTTGCAGTAAATAACTGAGTTTTGTTAGAGTTAAAATTCACAATCTACTGTTGCAGAATGGAGATCAGTTTCAAGATTGCCTGCCTGTTCTAACGATCAAAAAGTTAAGACTTTTTTTTAAGACAGGAGTATAAAGTTGAGTTGTCAACAAATAGAGACATTTTCAGTTTGTCAGGAATATTATTAATATATATAAGAAACAATACAGACCAATACATTGAAAACCTTGTGATACCCCAGAAGTTATTGGAAATGAAGGAGAGTGTTGTGGTACCCTAGAAGATATTGGAAATGAAGGAGAATGTTGTGGTACCCTAGAAGCTATTGGAAATGAAGGAGAGTGTTGTGGTACCCTAGAAGATATTGGAAATGAAGGAGAGTGTTGCGTTAAGTTATTGGAAATAAAGTGTTCAAAGATAACTTTAATACTGCAGTTAGGTTTTAATGATCTTAAAAGTTTTACTATGACACCATATGAAACAAACTCATGAAAAAGACCAGCATGCCAAACCTTATTGAAAGCTTTTATTATGTCAAGAGCAAATATACCTTGTGACAAGATTTAAGGTTTAGTAAACTGAGAATAGAGCTGAGCTTCAGACCATACTTAATTACATTGATTTTTTGCAACAATAAACAGAAGTTATGAGCTCAGCAGGTCAGTGATATTAGAAGTTATGAACTCAGCGGGTCAGTGGTATTAGAACCAAGCCATTTAGTGTGATCAGCATTAATGTCACCAATAAGAACAGTATTAGCTGATGGATAAAGAGAAAAGGCTTGGTCAACTAGATTAGAAATTACATCTAAAAAAGTGATAAAGTCTCTTCTTAAAAAGAATGAGAACAATAAGGAACAACAAGATTGAGTGCAAAGGTGCTAAATGAATGAAGAGGTGCTAAATGAGTGAAGAGGTGCTAAATGAGTGAAGAGGTGCTAAATGAATAGTCAGAGGATTCAAACCTGATTTCACAGCAAGTAGGTGTAATCAATTGATATATATATATATATATATATATATATATATATTATATATATATATATATATATATATATATATATATATATATATATATATATATATATATATATATATATATATATATAGATCAAGACTTCATTCTCAACTCCAACCTTTATATATTTTTTTATATATAATTATACATAGTATGATATATACATATAGTATAATACATACAACAATACAGTTATGTATTTATGTATTATTATTATGTAATTATATAGTTATGAATTTATATATTGTATTTTAGAACATTGAATCTTTGGAGCAGGCAACTCGTCAAAATCTGTCTAAGACACTATTAGGTTTTTTAATTGTATTCATTTAAAGATATTATTTGTTTTCTTTTCCATTTTCATTTGCAATGTTATTTTATTTCATTTGCATTATGTTGTTTCATTTGCAATTTTATTTCATCTGCATCATGTTAATATTGTTATTTCACCCAGTAATTAGAGGTATTACATAGCAATTTAAAGAAAAAACTTTTCTTTTTTTACAAAAGTTTTCAAAGAGAAATCTAAAACATGGATAAAACTGTGTTTATACTAAGCATGGGCGTTTGATTTTTTTGTCTGGTAAACTCGTCCATTATCGTTAATGTCTGTTATGTTAAAATTTTTTTTACAGATAATACTTTTTTTGTTAATTCCTGTTAATTTAACAGATAATACTTTTTTTGTTAATTCCTGTTAATTTAACAGATAATACTTTTTTTTGTTAATTCCTGTTAATTTGCATTAATTTCATTAATTTAACATTAAAAATTTTTTTGAATTGTTTAAAAAAAAGTTGAACAATTGAAAGATTTTTAAACTTTTTTTTTAAAAGCTCCTTGTCTTTCATTTTTTCTTAAAAGCTCCTTGTCTTTCATTTTTTCTTAAAAGCTCCTTGTCTTTCATTTTTTCTTAAAAGCTCCTTGTCTTTCATTTTTTCTTAAAAGCTCCTTGTCTTTCATTTTTTCTTAAAAGCTCCTTGTCTTTCATTTTTTTTTAAAAGCTCCTTGTCTTTCATTTTTTCTTAAAAGCTCCTTGTCTTTCATTTAATCGAAGATTAAATGAGAAGAACAAAAAAATTTCAAATGTTCGATTTTAAATTTGAAAATGTTCGATTATATTAAAAATTCAAAATAAATTAATTCACTAAATTAATTCAAAAATTCAGATTATATTAAATTTGAAATTTTTTTTTTATAATTTTATAGAAAAGAAAATTTTATAAATTTATTAAAAGTGATATTAATTTAAAGCTTTAATCAAAAATTTTAAACATTTTTGTACATTTGACAAATGCACAAAAACAAACTTAATAAAAAAAAATTAATATATAATTTAAATTTAAAAACTTAAAAAGTTTTATTAAAAAAATGTGTTTCTTGATAATAAACTTCAGTTGATTATGTTAGTTACTTTTTTTTAAAGTTATTTCATTTTCTAAATGTGCTTTTTTTATTATAAAAAGTAAAGTATATTATCTGTATTGTAATGGTGTTTATGACATTTATATTTATATTAGTTTCTTTATTGTATGTAAAATGCCAAAAACTAGTTTTGTCATTTGAGACATTTGGGAAAAAAACTCTACAGACACAAGGTATATAATAATATTACAAATATTTTTTCACTAATGTTATTTTAACTAAACAGTTCAATTGAAAAGTTATTTTTTTATTTCAGATGAGTATAACAAAGGATCAATACAAGGTCCATCAGCAAAAAAAATAAGAGTGAGTCAGTTGTTTGCTTGATTGCAAAACAAATAGGGTTCATAACTAATGCTGCTAGCAACATAATAAAAATAATGACACTTTTAAAGCATATAACTTATACTAATTTTTGTTACAATCATAGGTTTAATACTTGTTTAAATAGAGCATTAAAAACAAAGGAAAAAAATTTCTTTGAATGAAATTCAAGATGCTCTTGACATCTGCATAAAATTATCTTTTCATTCATCAATCATTATTAACCTGTCAAGAAATCAAAAAAAAAAAAAAAGCATTAAACTTGATAGTTGATTTTTTTAAATTATTTCTATTCATAAGATTAAATTAATTGTAATATAACATAATCTTTGCTTCTTTTATAGTTCCCTTATGTAAAAGTAATTGCTCCTGTCAAAACATGATGGAACAGCCACACAGCATTTTAAAATAAAAAAATAAAGATCTTGCTTACCTTACTAAATCCTTGCTCACTGAATCCTTGCTTACTGAATCCTTGCTTACTTGTGGTTCAGAGGATTTTAATAACAAAATTGCACATTTTCTACATTACAAGTTTCATTTAAAAATCTAAAAAAATTATATTAATATTGTGGTATTTTTTTAGTGTTTTGAATCAACCAAAAGGCAAATAATGGCCATCTACAACCCCAACCATGGAAAAGTTATTTCTGTAGCAAGCACACAAGATTTTTATTTCATGGAGCCAATTGATTTATGTGTTACTAGTATGTCACAAGTCAAAGATATTGCAATCGGTGATATGTCTTCAATTGAAGAACAAATAAGAAAAAACAGTAGCACTGACACAATAAGACAATTGGTTTTTTGCCATGAAAACTTTGAATTTACTTTGTTTTTTTATACAAAAATATACATATCTGTTTTTTTGTATCTTTTAATTAATGGCTTTTAACAGAATTTAATGTTCATTAAAATAAATTAATGGTCGTTAATAGAAAATTACTGTTAATAAATTTTAGCAGAACAGATTTTAATGGAAAATCCATTAAATTTTTTTTAATGCAACGAAAATTAACGGACTAATTTTAACAGACCGCCAAATGTCTATGCTTAGTTTATACTAATACTAGTTTATTTTTTTATTTTAGTTAAATTATTTTATTACTGTAAACTTGTTAAGTCACAGTTATTATTACATATTACCACATTGTTAAATCACAATTTAATATTACATATTACCATAATAAAATCTTACGTATTAACATAATAAACATATTTTTATGAAAAAACTCTTTTAACACGTTCACGCCGACGTGTACCACCGGTGGTACACACTAGACTGTCTCATTGGGCGGCATGTACCACTAGTGGTACACACTAGACTGTCTCATTGGGCGGCGTGTAACACCGGTAGTACACGCCGCCCAATGAGACAGTCTAGTGTGTACCACCAGTGGTACACGCTGCCCAATGAGACAGTCTAGTGTGTACCACCAGTGGTACACGCCGGCGTAAATGTGTTAATCAAAAATGTAGACTCACTAAAGGATTTTTGTGTTTTATAGTTTTTGGTACTTTAGTACCAAAAACTATAAAACTTGGACAATTCCAAGTCACATCTTACTCTTCTCCATGGTTTTCCTCTCACTGTTGCTGCATGGTTTTCTTCTCATTGCTGCTGCAAATTCCAATATTAACCATTACTTCCATATCTATCACCAAAACAATTCTTTAGATACAAAACATCTGTTTACTATTGCTAGAAACGATTGTAAAAAGGTTTTGTCTAATAAAGCCAGCTATTTTCAGGTCACAAAATATTGTATTTTAACTCAAAAAATCTTGAGTCTTTTGAAGAATCTTTAACAGTGTCAATAATAAGGGTAAATCTGCCTCTATTGCATGGTTCAGATTTACCTCGTCTAAAGACAAAGCTGAATTGTTTGCTAAGAATTTTTCATCAATCTCATTTCTTGATTTCATTAATCACATTCTGCCTGATATAGCTAACAAATAGGTTGATCTATTGCTTGACATTGCTATCACTTAAGAATTCTGTATCTAAAGTGATTTCCTGCCCAGACATTTTTACAGCTTGTGGCAGGACCACAACATACCTGGTATAGTCTTGCAGAAGTGTTCCAGAGCTGTCATCTATACTTTCAAAACTATATAACAAGTGCTTATCAGAGTCTTGTTTTCCAGCCTGCTAGAAAGCAGCATCTCTTATCTTTATTTTCAAGACTTTTGCTGGAGAGCGATCTGACTTGTCTAATTACTGTCCCAAGCTCTCTTCTTACAGTGTATCAGGTAACATCTTTAAGATTATTGATTCCTTCCTAACTAATCATAGTATAAAAGTTGTACTCAATAGGCAGCACTCTTGTTTATTTCCTGGAGCTTCAGGGGTTCTTCAAAGTTCTATCCTTAGCCCTATACTTTTTTAAATTTACATTTAAAATCTCCCAGAAATTCTCACATCTGTGGCATTGTTTACTGATGATACTACCATTAATTCTTCTCTTGATAAGAAGCCAATACTCTCTGATTGCTTGGAGGGGGCATTTATGCTTGAAAAAGATCTCACTTCTGCTACAGCATGGGGCTCTCAGTGACTGGTAAACTTTAATTTAGATAAAACTCAATTTTTTTCACCGCTAGTCGTTATTGCTAAAATCTAGATCTTCTTATGTTTATGAGCGGTAATAAACTTGATGAGTCATCTACCCTTCATCTTCTAGGATTAACTCTTACTTCCAATTTTTTTTTGAAACTATATATCAAATTCATTGGTAAGTTAGCATCTGCTAAGGTTGCATCTTTTTATTGTACTCACCACTTTCTTACTCCAGATTCTATTCTTTACCTCTATATATCTCAAATCCCTCCTTGTATAGAATAATGTTGCCATATCCAGAGCGGATCTTCAAATGGTGGCCTTTCTCGATAAGGTGCAAAAACAGATCGTAAACATAATTGGACCTGCTTTTGCTGCCAACCTCCAATCATTGTCACATCATTGTAATGTTGTTTTTCTTTCTAATTTTTCTACAAATACTATAAAGATAGCTCTTTATAGTCCCATGGACAATGACATTTTAATAAAACTTTAAAATCAATTAAAATTTTTTTTTTCTCTAATCTAAGTAATTACATGTGTAATTATTTTTGAAATGAGGTAAAT